TCAAAAGAATGCTTCAACACAGAAACTATTTGCGTGATGCTAGATAATGCTATTAAATCATAGCAGCTCATCAACGAAGGCCTTGCCTCCTTCACCACAACAAGTGACAGTCCCCAAGTGGTCACCGACAGTGACGCTCCCCAGGAGATGGTCACCGACAGTGACGCTATCCAGGAGGTGGTCACAGACAGGGGCACCCCCATGGAGGTGGTCACCGACAGTGACACTCCCCAGGAGGTGGTCACCGACGGTGACATTCCAGAGGAGGTGGTCACCGACAGTGACACTCCCCAGGAGGTGGTCACCGACAGTGACACTCCCCAGGAGGTGGTCAACGAGAGTGACACTCTCCAGGAGGTGGTCACCGACAGTGACACTCTCCAGGAGGTGGTCACCGACAGTGACACTCCCCAGGAGGTGGTCACCGACAGTGACACTCTCCAGGAGGTGGTCACCGACAGTGACACTCCCCAGGAAGTGGTCAAAATGAGAAAATACGACAAAAGTTTTTTCCTGGCATCTGCTAGCAAACTCCGTAGCGCGGTCGACGAGTTAGCCGAGGCTTACACAAATTTAAGTGGTGTAAGGGTCGTGGGCTACAGCGTCTCCCTTGAAATTCCCGCCAACACAAACGTAAACTTTGTGTTGGATAAAATTGCAGATCTGGAAGACCTCCGTTACCACAACATGACCGTAGTACAAGGATGTGCGTACCTACGGCAAGAGGTAAAAAAACTGATAAATATCCCAGACAATGGGATATTTTTCTATTATTCCGCCAAGTGTGGAAGACAAACTAAGGAGGGGTACGCCAGATTTGAATATGTGGTGTATCCTCCAGTGTTGTTGAGGAGATTCAAAATAGCCTATCTCAAAAGAATGCTTCAACACAGAAACTATTTGCGTGATGCTAGATAATGCTATTAAATCATAGCAGCTCATCAACGAAGGCCTTGCCTCCTTCACCACAACAAGTGACAGTCCCCAAGTGGTCACCGACAGTGACGCTCCCCAGGAGATGGTCACCGACAGTGACGCTATCCAGGAGGTGGTCACAGACAGGGGCACCCCCATGGAGGTGGTCACCGACAGTGACACTCCCCAGGAGGTGGTCACCGACGGTGACATTCCAGAGGAGGTGGTCACCGACAGTGACACTCCCCAGGAGGTGGTCACCGACAGTGACACTCCCCAGGAGGTGGTCAACGAGAGTGACACTCTCCAGGAGGTGGTCACCGACAGTGACACTCTCCAGGAGGTGGTCACCGACAGTGACACTCCCCAGGAGGTGGTCACCGACAGTGACACTCTCCAGGAGGTGGTCACCGACAGTGACACTCCCCAGGAAGTGGTTAAAATGGGAAAATACAACAAAGGTTTTTTCCTGGCAGCTGCTAGCAAACTCCGTAGCGCGGTCGACGAGTTAGCCGAGGCTTACACAAAGTTAAATGGTGTAAGGGTTGTGGGCTACAGCGTCTCCCTTGAAATTCCCCCAAACACAAACGTAAACTTTGTGTTGGATAAAATTGCAGATCTGGAAGACCTCCGTTACCACAACACGACCGTAGTACAAGGATGCGGGTACCTACGGTACTAGGTAAAAAACCTGAGAATCTTACCAGACAAGGGGATAATGTTCTATTATTCCGCCAAGTGCGGAAGACAAACTAAGGAGGGGTACTACAGATATGAATATGTGGTGTATCCTCCAGTGGTGTTGAAGAAATTCAAATTAGACTTTCAAAAAGAATGCTTCAACACAGAAACTATTTGCGTGATGCTAGATAATGCTATTAAATCATAGCAGCTCATCAACGAAGGCCTTGCCTCCTTCACCACAACAAGTGACAGTCCCCAAGTGGTCACCGACAGTGACGCTCCCCAGGAGATGGTCACCGACAGTGACGCTATCCAGGAGGTGGTCACAGACAGGGGCACCCCCATGGAGGTGGTCACCGACAGTGACACTCCCCAGGAGGTGGTCACCGACGGTGACATTCCAGAGGAGGTGGTCACCGACAGTGACACTCCCCAGGAGGTGGTCACCGACAGTGACACTCCCCAGGAGGTGGTCAACGAGAGTGACACTCTCCAGGAGGTGGTCACCGACAGTGACACTCTCCAGGAGGTGGTCACCGACAGTGACACTCCCCAGGAGGTGGTCACCGACAGTGACACTCTCCAGGAGGTGGTCACCGACAGTGACACTCCCCAGGAAGTGGTCAAAATGAGAAAATACGACAAAAGTTTTTTCCTGGCATCTGCTAGCAAACTCCGTAGCGCGGTCGACGAGTTAGCCGAGGCTTACACAAATTTAAGTGGTGTAAGGGTCGTGGGCTACAGCGTCTCCCTTGAAATTCCCGCCAACACAAACGTAAACTTTGTGTTGGATAAAATTGCAGATCTGGAAGACCTCCGTTACCACAACATGACCGTAGTACAAGGATGTGCGTACCTACGGCAAGAGGTAAAAAAACTGATAAATATCCCAGACAATGGGATATTTTTCTATTATTCCGCCAAGTGTGGAAGACAAACTAAGGAGGGGTACGCCAGATTTGAATATGTGGTGTATCCTCCAGTGTTGTTGAGGAGATTCAAAATAGCCTATCAAAAAGAATGCTTCAATACAGAAACAATTTGCATAATGCAAGATAATGCAAAGATAGTATGGGGGGTCATCAGCCAATGTGTTGATTCCTTCTCCTCAACAAGTGACAGTCCCCAAATGGTTACCGAAGCCGGCGGTCCCCAGGTGGCCACCGAAGAGGAGAGTCCCAAGGTGGCCACAGAACAGGAGCGTCCCCAGGTAGTCACCGAAGGGGAGAAAACCCAAAAGGTCACCGAAGCCAGCGGTCCCCAGGTGGCCACCGAAGAGGAGAGTCCCAAGGTGGCCACGGAACAGGAGAGTCCCCAGGTCGTCACCGAAGGGGAGAAAACCCAAATGGTCACCGAAGCCAGCGGTCCCCAGGTGGCCACCGAAGAGGAGAGTCCTCAGGTGGCCACCGAAGGGGACACTCCCCAAGAAGTTGCCCGTAGTGCTGCTGCTCAAATGCCTAAGGCCAATAGGCCTCCTCACCAGGCCAAGAATACCTTGGTCCCAGGGGCCACAGGTAATCTCAAATCAAAGGCTGAGCACCCAACCAACAGGGTCGCTGAAGCCCGTAAAGCTGCTGCCCAACAGGCCCGGGCTAATAGGCCTCCTCACCAAGTCAAGAATACCTTGGTCCCAGGGGCCAAAGGTAATCTCAAATCAAAGGCTGAGCACCCAACTAACACGGTCGCTGAAGCCCGTAAAGCTGCTGCCCAACAGGCCCGGGCCATGGCCAAGGAGCGCCGCCTGAAAACTGCTATGAAACAAAAGTGATTGATAATCCACGTTGTTTTCTTTTTGTTTATGTTTTTGTGAAAACTAAAAATAAAGTATAAATTAATATTATTTGTATTTTTACTCCACAAATAACTTATAAAGCATCTCCTGCATACAATTCTTACTGCACTTACTTATATCACATATATACAGGACTGGTAATACCTGGGTATAAATAACACTTTAAAATAGCCCAACTCTCATACACAAACATATCACTCACCGGGGTATTCTGTCTTGCTGTCCAAGCATTTTCCTAGTTTATGGCCAACAATACCAGGGATAAGACTTTGTTGCATTTGTGTTTGTGTGTGTGGAGGGGGGGGGGGTGTACTGCACGGTCACTTGTTATCAATACTTTTAAAGATCACGAGATATACACTACAGTTAGTGTAAAATGAATATGATAAAATACAACGAAATATATATAATAAGAATATTTAATAATAAAAATAATTAATAATTATTATTATTATTATTATAATTATTATTATTATTATTATTATACATCACATCTGAGCATTTACGAACGCTAAAATTCTAAACATATTATGTAACAACTCGTACATTATAAATATAATAAGCTTTCAGTCCACATTGACACTAAATTAACAACATTCATTTAAATATGAAAGGACTTAGACACTTTGAAACAAATAATTAAAAAAAAATAACAAGTGGGCTAAAATAGCACTTAAATCAAGGAGATTTAAAGGTCCTTTGTTTAAATCTTTGAATAAAATGATTAATATAATTATTTTACTAATAAAAAATTTTTCAATATAAAATTTTGACTGAAAAGCAATGAGCAAAAGCTTATTAAGTTTATTTGTTGTAATATTGTTTGAGGACTCACTGATCGCTGGTTGATGACGTCATGGCTTCACGTCGCAAACACACACACTCGCCACCACTTATCTGTGTTATTTTACCACTAAATCATTTTAATGTATCACTTTTTCTCACTTTGAACAATTAAAGGTGTATATAGTATCACTCTATATTACAAGTACTAAAATTTAATAGGTAACTTCTTATAGAACGTTGCCAGCGATCACTGGAACAAATAATGAACAACGGCATTGTTTTCGTTTCCTATTACATTCCTTTGCTTCATAATCCACTGAATATCATTTCAAAAATTCCTCTGAAGGTTGTTTCTGTAAATTACTATTCTGGGAAAGTCACACAAGCATAGATTACCGGTAATTCAAGAGCAAATTATTGTCACTATTGGACACTGGTCGACAGACGATAATATAATGGCAGAGTGAGCGGCGGTCCACCTTTTAAACGCCCGTGAGTTGTGACCGAGTATGGGCCAATAGGCCCGCTGCAGTTTCTCCATTCTTATGTTCTTATGAGAGATCGCCGCTTGAGACTGCCGTTGATGATTGAGGGTGGCGATTGTCGCCATTGGACCGATCAGTGTAGGCCTGTCACTGTTTAGCGGGATATCAAAGGATCTCTTGAGGGAATCTAGCCGTCTGGGTGCCCAGCTGACGACGGGACGATCGTTGGGGTCATCAGCTCTCCTCTACCTCGGCTCACAATACCACATGTTTCAAGCAGCTTAGTGAAACCCTCTTGCTAACGGGAAGCTAAAGCTTCTCTCAACTGTACAAGGTCTGATTGGCTCACTCCCTTCCGCTTTATGGATGTACCGGGGGGTAAAGTGAAGCTAGCTGAGTGATACAGGGTCGCACACTGGGGCCAAGAGTCAGTGGAGTTAAGAGGTACACTTTCCAAGGTGGAGAAAGGCTGATTTGGGCCTTCAACTACGGGTGCCTGTTGGTTGTGCCTTAAACGACTACGGAGTGCAGGTGGAATCTGTGTGTGTGTTAGGTTAGGGAGCATAGTTCACGGGTGTTGGACTCAGTAACGTCTTTATAATAGTGACAATATTTTTGTGTGTAGTTAATACTATTTTTTCAGTTACTAATGTATGCTGTGTGCATTTAAAATTTCTTTATAGTTTCAATCTCAGATATAACCTTTGTTCCCCAGAGTAGTGTTTAAGTTAGGTTAGGAGGTGTGCATCTGTTGGTGTAACATAATTATATTGAGTGCCCTTAAGGCCTATTCATTGTAGAGTATTTAATTTCTTATTTTTTAATACCATTTCCTCAGTGACTGGTATTATTTTGTTGAAAACCCTTAAGGCCTGCATCTGTTGGTGTAACATAATTATATTGAGTGCCCTTTAGGCCTATTCATGGTGGAATTAATAATTTCTTATTTTTATACCACTTCCGCAGTGGTGGATATTATTCTGTGAAAAAGCCTTAAGGCCTGTTTCATGTGTGCAAGCAACATTTCTTAATACTTTAAATTTATTGTTGCCTAAGTTTCTAATAATTTCAATATCATGTATAACTTTTATTCCTCAGAGTAGTGTTTTAAGTTCAAATTAAGAGGTGCGCATATTGGTGCACCATTATTTGATTGTGTTTGTAGTTGGAGGGAATATAAGTGTCTAAAATTTACAGTGGGTCTCATTCATCTCAGTCACAGACGCTATCCTTCCACGGGTCACGGACAATTCATTTTGTTAGTAAATTTAAGTGCTCTTGTGCTGGTTCGGGATTTCTCACTAAGGGGCGCTTCCACTGCCATTACCATCTAATAATCTTTAATAAACCCCAAGTCAAGTGAGAAAATAAAGTCCAGTAAATTCCGACCGGTTACATATATATATATATATATATATATATATATATATATATATATATATATATATATATATATATATATATATATATATATATATATATATATATATATATATATATATATATATATATATATTGTAGTAGCTATAACGAACGTAATGGTTCCAGAACCTCGTTCGTTATAGCATCTGTTCGTTATAGGATTAACTGTTCCAGGCCCCCAAATACAACCACTTAACACTGAAAAATTCTGTGGAAAATGTAAAATACGGTATTTTATCTTACCTAGTGTTATTCAGCATGCAGGTGCCCCTAAACACTGGCACAGCACTATCACTTCCACTGGGAGTCTTGGCTTTAAGGTCCTCAAACAATTGTTTAGCCTTCTCACAAATTATAGCTTCACCAATGTTACCACCTGCCATTTCTTTTCCTTTATCCACACTAAGAGTAAATTTTCCATCTCTTCAATCACATTACACTTTGCTTTGCTAAGTCTAACGATTCCTTTAGCCACTTCGCACTTTTTAACTCCTTTATTCTTCAAAATCGCACATATAGTCGATTTAGTCATCCCATACATCACTAAGTTTTCGCAATGCTTCTTCCATTCTCACGTTTCTTTTACAATTCTTTTCTAGTTTCAAGGGTTATTAGCTTTTCACTGCTTTGACGACTCATTGTTATAATTGTATACTTGTATAACAAAATAGTTATACAAATAACGCGAATTTCCACATCAAAAGACGAAATTTCAAATAATAACAGTGGTGCACTCGTTACACAATGAGACAAGATGGCGCCTGACGCTCTTGTTGTGGGTCGCGGTACAACAATATTCATGCGCCAGGTGAAGTAGTCCCGTATTCATCCGCGTTGTTATAGCATACCCACTGTATATATATAAGATATATATATATATATATATATATATATATATATATATATATATATATATATATATATATATATATATATATATATATATATGCTGATAACCACAATGAAAGAAGAAAACACGAAGTTCCTTCGTATCACATTCAAAATTGAAAGAGAAATAAATGGATCCCTTCCATTCCTTGATATGCTTATTATGAGAAATGGCCAAAACTATAAATTTACTGTATGTAGAGAGCCCACACAGGTAGACAGTTTCATTCACTTTTTATCGAATCACCTTGAGTCTACCAAAATGTCAGTTTTTTCTGCTATGTTCTTAAGATGTCTGCGTATTTGTGACTCTGAATTTATTGACGATGAATTGAAACGCATTCGTTCCATTGCACAGAAACTCGGGTACCCTTCTGTGTTTGTTAATCGTTGTTTTAAAAGGGCTAAAAAATCCTTTCATTCCTCTCAAACCAGACAAGTTCCTACACTTAAGAATATTTTGACTCTGCCCTATCGTAATGAATTTGTCCCGTTAGTTCGGTCCCTCAAGCTTCTAAATATTAATGTTGTTTTCAAGTATGACTCTACCATTACCAATATGTTAATAAGGAATAGCCCAAGTTTGAATGTAAATGGAAGTGTTTATTGTATTCCATGTAGCAAATGTAATTGTAATTATGTAGGACAAACAGGAAAAACACTGCAGCTCAGAATCAAACAACATAAGTATAATATCAGAACAGCATCTGAAAGCAGTGCCTTGTTCGTTCATGTTAGGAATAATAATCACCCCATTGCTTGGGAAAAAAGCTTAGAAGTATTTAAATCATCTTGTGTCACAGAAAGACTTCTGGTTGAAGCTAGTTTGATTTAGGAATTAAAATCAATAAACCTTAGTGATGGTCAGTTCAAAACTGATAATATGTTACATAAATTTATTTGTCAGTGGCCCAAGGTTAAAAATGCTTTGAAAACCTTTGATCTAGATGTATAATAGTTGTTTTGTAGGTCCCTTATTTTTGGCCTGACCTGACTAGTCACGTCACCCCCCTTCTCTTAAGCTCCTCTACGTGTGTGTTGGTGTGGGGATTAGTGGATGACA